AGGAGACAATTGCAGATATTTGTAGGTTATTTTATTTATCCATGAAATTTTTGATACTCAAAGGGTATGACTAAATCTCCATTTTAGAAACGTGATATTCAAGGAAGCACCTTTATAATAATAAAAGTATGTCTGTATATTTCAGGCAAGTTTTTGTTCTAATTGTCATTCTCTTGTTACAGAACACATTTTTTTTATACATAGAAACTCCATTTATCTTTCTCTTCTGTCTCTGTCTCTCTAACATACTAATATAAGCTAATAATCTTCAAATGACTGTTTATTTTTCATTTTTTTTCATTTCATTAGTTTAACCTTTTGAAAAGCTTGTAGTTACCGTGTACTTTTCAAAATATTGTCAACCTCCTAGCTCTTCAATTTATCATAGTCTTATGTAATAATATGACAACTCTACAATTCCATAGTTACCTATGGCATTGTACATTCTTAATTAAATAGATATATAGTTAAATGCCAGTTAAAATGGCATTGAACATTCGTAATTAAATAGATGTATAGTTTATGTTTTCATATCGATGTGTATATTTTCATATGCACTTAGATATGAAACAAATAAATACTTTTACAGCTTAATAATAAGGATACATTCTAAGAAATGTGTTGTTGGGCAATTTTGCCCTTGTGTGGACATCATAGAGCTCACTTATACAAGCATAGATGGTAGAGCCTGCTACACTCTTAGGCCCTGGGGTATATAGCCTATTGCTCCTAGGCTATTAACCTGTACAATATGTTACTATACTGAATATTGTAGGCAATTGTAATGGTAAGCATTGTATATCTAAACATATCAGGAAGGTACAGTAAAAGTACAGTATTATGCTCTTATGGGATCTCTGTTGTGTATATGGTCCATCAATGACTAAAACACCATTTTGTGGCGCATGGCTGTACATAGACATTCATAAGCATGCCAATTTATTAAACTTTTTATGTACATAATTATTTAATGTTTATGAGTTACTCCTTTAAATATTTGATTATTCTAATAAATGGATGTTTTCTTATACAAGTAGTTTTACATTTAAAAATGAAAGAATCATCACAAGTAAAAGTTTGAGATTTACAAACAAGAATTTCAACAATCACTCTACCAAATTGTCTTGTTAAACACTGATTTATGAGAAAGATATTCCTCAGATGAATAGAGGGAAGAAAAGAGCTCAACTAATACAAACCATAAAACTCTGTGTGGAATCTATTAGGGCTTGAAGCCTCTTTGGTAGTTTGGAAAATGGAGCAGATGTTTCACTGAACAGGAGACAATAAAGAGAATGCAAAAGCACAGCTGCATCTGTATCACTTTTTCTGACCTGGTATTTTTGAGAAAATTAAGTCAATTTTTATTTTCCATTTGCTTTAATTATGTTCTCTGTAATTAGTCATAGACGCTAATACTTCTAAAATATATGAATAACATGAATAAACAATAATACAAATATTTAAGCAGGAAAAACATCAATAAACACATCAGGATACATCTGGTTTTATCATTAGATGGAAAAACCTTTTGGATATTAGAGATTTTGTAAACTGGAATTGCAAATGAGAAATTTGGGGTCTGTATTACAATGCACACTAACTTTTTATTCTTACATTTCTTTTGCCTTGGTGAGCTGATCTATGTAAATTTCCCTGGGTTGCAGACATTTTACTCTACCTATGGGTGATGATCAAGGTTAAATTTGGACTATTCCAAGATATTACCAAGATGTAAGAAACATCATTAAGCCATTTTGAAAATGTGAAACATATTATGGGATGGAAAAATATTTTTTATTATGTCAGTGAGAGACAAGCCCAGGCAGATCTTTATCAGATACATCTACATTTGTTTTTACTTGATTATCTCATAACTACTAAATGTTTTACCTGGAGCCCTTTTCCTATATTTTCAATTATTTTTTTGGAGTTGATAGCATTATCTGTATTGTCTGTCCCATGATTACATGTTTCTGTGTGCACATCTATGTAGCTTGCTCTCAAGTGTTTCCGTAAATTGAATAAAATGTTTTCCTTCTTTTTGTCCATTACATAATCTCATGTCATTCCAGATACGAGCAGGCCTGATTCAAAAATTACTTTTATTCTTTTTCTGCCTGACTTTTTCTCAGAGAAGTAGAACATTTCAGCACTGTCATTTATGTAAATGAATCATAATAGAAAAGAAACCTATGTCCTATAGGTTAATCTCAGTATTTTCACTCAAGACAGCAAAGGGTAGAACAAAAATGCATCATGGTCATTGACCCCCGGAAACAATATACCCGAAGCAAAATTTTTTCATTATGGAATTCAGGAGAAGACATGGAAGGGTAAAGGAGTCACCCAGACATTCCACTTCTGTCATGCTAGCCTAGGAAATGGACTAGTACATTCCACAAAGAGAACAGATTATAGAACTATAGAGGATTGAGGACTGAGCCAATATCCTTGTAGAGATTATGGGCCTCAGAAGTGTCAAATCTTTTTTGTTTGTTTGTTTTAGAAGATTCACAGAGCTTTAAGACCATGCATACTGGAAAACTGCCCTTGTACTTGCTTTCAGGCCAGAGAATCTTCTAAGCATATATGACCAAATTTTTATCTTTTGAATATCCTCGGGTCATGTCTGAAGCAGTGATGACAATAGCCAGCACCCTTTTCTTTCAAGGTTCACTATAACCTATGAGTATTCTCGTTTTATGGATGAGAAAACATAAGTCTTGAGAAATTAAGTTACTTGCCAAAGATCATACAAACCTTTAAATGATGGACTTGTAAATTCTAAACTTTTAGAATGGTGTAGAACTCGAAGCCAAGTTCTTTAATGCTAATTAGTCAACTCTCTGTTTGTAATTCTATGTATATCTCCAAAGTTACATTTCAGTGCAGTGAGTGGAGTCTTTCATTATCTCAAAATAGCTATCCTTCCATTTACTGTGGATTTTTAGTTGTTTAAATGTGTCAAGTTCCTTAAATATTATTTTGCTCTGCCTCTGCTGAAAATGAGAAAGAAAAAAAGAAAAAGAAGGAAAAAAGGAAAGAAGGAAGGAAGGAAGAAAGGAAGGAAGAAAGGAAGGGAGGATAGAAGGCAGGCAGGCAGGGAGGGAAGGAAGGGAGGGAGGGAAGGAAGGGAAGGAAGGAACGAAGGAAGGGACCTAGGGAGGGAAGGAAGGAAATAAGGAAAATTAAATGACACCCCAGCAGTTATGGACCTAAACCAAAATGTCTGAGGAAGATATTCTGTGCCCAGTTCCAGAAATTTTACAGGGGGCTGTACTTTCTTACTTTTACATGTATTAATAAAATTGTCCTTAAAACTTGGCCTTAAAGGAATATCTTTTAAACTGATAAATTTTGAATCCTGCTACAAACTGGTATGAAATAAATGGACTGTCAGTCTTACAATCTCTATTTCACTTGTAGGAGATGGGCTGGCACTGTACAATAAAACAGGAGAGAGCAAACCGAGTTAATTTCACTGTATCAATAAGAGAAATGTGATTTGTGTGAGCCTCAGAAAAAGACTAAACCATATATGAAAATTGCATAAATCATTTAAACTTTTTATTGTTATCAACTTTAAAGCAAGTCCTGCATTAGAAAAACCATAGGTATAACTGAATTGCTTCTAAATGTCTTTCAGCAATTCCTTTTCTAGGTGCGGCATTAGAATAATTTTATTAGAATTAAAAAATATACTTTGTTTTATTTTGTCTGTTACTTGAGATAAGTGATGAACAGATTGTGTAAAATAAAATAATTTTTGCTACTGAAATGTTGAGATGCTCAGGAAATTGCTAGACTTTTTATACGTATAACTTTCATATCTATTTTTAAAGTTTATAAAATATGTCTTAAAAAGATTTGAAGTCCATGATTTTTCTATTAGACAACAAGAAAATTTATCAGGTCAAAGGTTTTAAGTAGATAATAAGAAATGTTTTGAGAAATTTGTATAAAATAGATTCCCAAATTATATCAAATCTTCTAAGTGGAACAAAGTTTAAAATATGAAAAAAAAATAATTTTTGTTTTAAAATTTAAAAATAATCTCACAATGTTGAAGAGCACTACTAAATAATTGGGGTATTACTTGCATGTATTTTTTCATTTAGATTCATAGTTGTATGTCATTGTGTTAGGTTGGATGCTGAGAATTCAGAATCTCTTTTATTGAAAATGCAGTTGACTTAAAAAAGAAAAAAGATGAAATAATCTAAAGTCCAGTAAATTTCACACTTGATATAGAATCTACTATTTCTTAAAAGTCATATATGTTAAGATAGCTACCATTTCAGGGTAAGACACAGAGAAACTGAAGCACCCTCTTCTGCCTACATTTGAGCTCTGCATACTCTCCTGTATCTCCAGGGTTTGAACGTGAGGCAAGTAGTTGACTTTCCTTCAACTTTGTCACCACTGGCTTCAGCTGAATCATTGGCTTCATGAGTCACTTTGCTATTCCAAATAGTTTGCTCCTATTTTAGACCACTTTGTCCTAGATGTGAAACATGGTCTATTCTATTTGATTTACATATAAACAACAAAATAAAGAAGCAAATAAAACCTAAAACAAAACCAACTTACACATTTTGAGTATCCCTTATCTGAAATGCTTGGACCCGAAGTATTTCAAATTTTTGATTTGTTTGGATTTTGGAATATTTGCATATACATAGTGAGATATTGGAGACAGTACTCAAGTCTAATCATAAAATTCATTTGTTTTATATTTACCTTATACACACAGCCTGAATGTAATTTTATACAAAAATTTAAATAACTTTGTTATAAAACGAAGCTTGTGTATAGCAAACCATCAGAAAGTCAAGCCATCACTATCTCAGCCACTCATGTGGACAGTCTATGATTGTTTGGCATCACCATCATTCCCGACTCTGAATTTATATGCTCCTGATAAGCAATCACTTATTATACCTATTCACACATAAGTACTTAACAGTAAAAAATACAACTTGCCATTAATACAGTGGAAAAATAATGTATCCGTCGGAACTAAGCAGCACAGCCGCCTCTCATTGCTATCCTCTTCAGAGTGACGTCACATGAGTACCACAGCGTCTTGTACTCCTGCTTTTCTTCTTTCACCAGGAGGCATCCCAGTACCTAATTTGTAGAGCAAAATGGCACTCAAAATGTTTTGGATTTGGGAGCATTTCGGATTTCAAACTTTCAAATTAGAAATGTTCAATCTCTATAATCAATTTTATTATGGGTCTGGAAAAATCAATATGGTTGTTTCCACAAGAGCACCAAAAAATACGATTAATTAAATCTTAAAAACGTAGTTTTTGAAAGCTCATTGGCCACTGTTCTCCTCAGGTTCTTGGAAACCAACATGATATTTGCTAGTTTCATCCGCAGTTTCCCATCCTTGCTTTCTTTTGTGCTTTTCTCCACCACCGAATATATATAAATTTAAGACTACCTGTTGCCTTTCTGTCTGGTTCCAACATCTTTTAGAGCCTTATCTCTACTTTAAATGATTTTCTCAATATATTCCAGAAAAAAATATCTTTCCCAAATGGAACTATGTGCTAGCTAATTTAATAATTTTTCAATACGCTACTCTTTTTCTCCAGTAAAATTTTTTGTGAACCCGACAAAAGTCATTTCTAAATTTGCTTCCTAACTATGATGTGATTGTGACAAAATACATTCATTATGTAGTTAAAACTTTCATATATTCTCCCTAATAGTTTCCCTGAAGTGGCTGATGCTGTATGTTAAATAACCACAAACAGTGAAGATGGTATCTTTTCTATGTGGCACAGAAGGTAAATGTTTTCTACCTTTCAGAGAGTGGGTATGATCTGTTTTGTTCTGTTTTCTCTTTTTCCTAAGTGTCTGCTTTTCAAGTCTTTGAAGTCTTCTTGAGGTGGAGTTTCTAGCACAAGGGATCCTGAATATGGAGTAAGTTCTGAGGTAAAAGGATGATGAGGACTGCTCTGTTCTAGGACCTTCATCTCTGCATTTTCACCTCTTGCTCTTACATTTAAACATCCTCTACCTTTCAGCTGGCGGTACATTCTGTTGAGGTATATAGATACATGAAATTATATGTATCCTTTTCCTTAGGATATTACTCCTCATACTAAATCTTAACCTGAGGACACTCTTCACTAGGGCTGGGTTCACTGTGCCAGGCAAAATTTCTATGCATCAGAGAGGGTCACCGGTAGACACAGGGTAATTGGAAGATAAACAGCTGTTTTTGCCACAGTATCTTCAGGGAAAAATGGAAATAAAGTTGAATTCTTGGCTGTGTATGTGGGTCTGGTTTTAGACACAAATATCAGGAAATTAGATTATTACCCTGACTTCTACACTTTAACCTAGACCCTCAGACAATGGTTTCTGCTTTCTTTGCAGTGGATGATCTTAAACTTTTCAATTCTGTTCCTCAGCACTTCTACACAAACTTTAACTTTTGCTTGATCAGGACCAAAGTTTTAAAACGTGAGTTTTACTGGATCTAAGATGCCACCTACTGTATGTGTACCATCATTACATGTAGCACAGATGGTGGGGAAAAAAGAGCTCTATCAATTTAACAATGACCAAATATTTTTGTATCACTTACAGCTTTTATTTTATTCTTATTGAAAGACCTCTGTTCTTATATGTTATTCTTGTTCAAACCTTAAAAATGTAAGTGAAAAAATTAAATGATTCTAAAACTAAAACTTTTTATTCAGGATTCAAATTTTTGAACAAGAATTATCAATGTCTTTTTTTTTTTCCCACATATACTCCTCATCTGTGGCTACATGAGCATTGCTGATCCAGCATCCCTTAAAAGAATTCTGCACTGTTTTCTCCAGGATTATTGTCTAAGCAGCTGATTCTACAATATCAAATATTTGATTCACATAAGCAGACAACTCCATCATATCTGCTCTTGAATGGCAACAATTATAAGTTATTCAAATTCAGACACATTGAAATCTGAAAAAATGCATCCATGAAATATATAGATGTGCTTTAGCAGGAAATTTCAGGTTCTCTGTCACTATAACTAAATGATAGGAACTTCTGTTTCTTTCTGTCTAGGCTTCAGCTCCACAAGCACTACTGATCCACCATTAGTACATGTCCAGTGGTCAGTGGGAAAATTCCACATGTCCAAGACTCCTGTATGCATCAGGAGTCACTAGTAGACCAAAGGTAATTGGAGAATAAACAGCTGTTATTACCACAATATCTTCAGGGCAAACTGGAAGGGGGAAATGAAATTGCGTTCACAATAAGTCTGATTCCCCAAGTCTGTAGCCTCGTAAGTAAATCATGCCCCTTTTCTTGATTTATTCAAAAGAAGCCCACAGAGCATTTGTGTGTATGCAGCAAACTCTACTGGATTTGAAAGGAAGGAGGAAAAACACCGAAATGTAACAAGTAGCTTAAATTGAACATTCTTGATTTTGATCCTCAGCAGCGTTTTCTTGGAGATAGGCCCTGCTCTACTTCTAAGATCCTTGACCCTCTCTCATTCTGCCCTCCAGAAAGTCTGTTTCTCTTCCTCCTCTGTTCTCTTGCACATTCTAATTTCAATTTCTTTCTTTCCTAGAGAACTTTCTCTGTTTCTTCAAATCATGTATTTATCTTTAAAGCAGAAAAAGGCTTCTTGGGATCTTTTCCTATACAAATACCCCAAATCACAATTATGCTTCATTGCTTTAAATGGTTTTTTTAATAGATGTAGAAGATATTCAAATAAAGTTGCCATAGCCACATGGGCCACAGGAGTTCCATGGCCTGTGTAGTTCTAAAAGTCTTAATGAAAAGGCTAAGCTTGAACTAAAAGTTTAAATACAGAGAAAAGTAAAATGTGTCAGGTAGATATCATGGGCAGGAAGTCAGAAGAAGTAATAGAAGTGTGAGAGAGAATAGTGCAATTGTTTTGGAAAGTTAGCTCTCTATAATTAGTTCTGATCAGAGACTTTGGCACCAGCTCTTCTACTTCACTCCAACACGCTTGCTTTTGCCATCAGTCCTTAATGATAACGCAGATGCTCAGTAAATCAGTTCACAGGCCAGTCTGCATTAGAGACCTCCTTTTTCAGCTCTGATTTCCTAAGCTCCATATAGGTTTTCATAGCTTTGGGATTGGTTATATGAATATATGACAATTTTGTTCATTTAAAAATTTTCAGCTATTCTGTGGTCATTCATCCTAGTCAATTACTATATTTAAAATAATTTAACTAAATGATCTAATACTTGAGGCAGTCATTTGAAGCAAGAGTATGTGTGTGTGTGTACATGTTTGTATGTGTATGTGATTAACAGTACAAGGGAAATTCTGGAAGAGAGGGTGAAAGGGAAGTGCCTCAGTGCAGTCATTTCAAGAGATTGAATGTAGCACAAAGTTAAAGGGCATGTTAAGAATAGAGCAAAATAAGTTTTGGGTTATAGTAGTTGTTCCAAAGAAAAGAAATTGGGAGAATAGTAAAATCAAATTTTTCATTTTGCTATTTTATTTAAGTCTCTCATGGGAAATACAAGCATTTGTATGCATTTGAATTCCCTAACATTACTCTTGCTTATTATTGAGGAAAATCGTGTGATAGAGGAGGGCATGCTCAGAAGTTTCTGTTGCTTGTGTGGCAGGAAGCACACCAATTTATTCTCTGGTGGAATGAAATCAAGCATGTTTCTGCAAAAGATTTCTGGCTTCCCTGAGCTTTCTGTTCAGAGACTACTGTTTGGGATAATTTCATCCTAATATGTTCCCAAATCTCAGGCTCTTTTTTTAAGAAATGCTTTTGTTTCATTAGTATGTGATACATGCTTGACATATAGTTGGTATGAATAAATGCTTGAATCTGAAGTAAGTTCATCTTGAAGAAGGAAGAAAGGAGGTATTTCGTTTTCCTATCAAGCTCTTCAGACTTCTTACAATGGTCAAAAACAGATTTATTATCGGTGAAACTGCTACATGACCTACAAGTCTAGAAAATCGTTCTAGACTTAAACGAAAAATGATATGACTTTCCCCATAAGTTTCTTTTACATATAAGGATCTCTTCCATTCTCATAGAATATCAACAACAACAATAGCCATGATATTAATAACATTAGTTCTGGCTAATATTTACATGTTATTCATTTTAGAGATTTTTTTCCAAGAGCCAAAAACATGCCTCATTCTGACCATGCAACCTTACAGAGAAAATTCCCTTGTAATAGGAAGATCCTTGTAGAAAGTTCTCTGCTCGTTTCTTGACATTTCCAAGAAATTTAAGACAGGCACTTTCTCTATAATGGAATTTCCCAACTGAGTTTTCCTTCTGTTTAACTCCCACTTGGCTACATACTCTTTCGTGAACTGTCATCTCTGCAAACTCTGCAGTTTTCAGGTAACATTATGCCTCCTATCTTGCAGAAGGAGCTCTTCCTTGCTGGCGTGCAATACTTGCTTGCATTTGATTTCACTCTCTCTCATAATAAATTATTCTCTATTTTGGTAGTCACCCTAATATGTCTAGTTACAATATGAGAAAAACCCAAGACACAAAATATGCTAGCTACCTCATAAAATCAGACTATAAGATGTACATAAACGTTAAATAACTCTTAGAAATTCCAATCTTTTGAACAGAATGTTTTATGCACAAGGCAAACAAAAAAATACTCGAGAATATTTAACACTTCACAAATCAATCAATGCATGTGTCTAAAACATTTTATATCTTATTTAAGTTTGTTTTATTTATTTCATGTTGTCTGTATTTCTGATTTTACAGGAAAGAATCATCTTGAGATTGAGGTATAAGGATTTGAGTTGGAGCAATGACCTATTCAATTCTAAAACCTTACATAGACTAAAGACAACATTTTACTCTTAAACTGGTTCTGCTAACTTCATTGCTCAAATAACATATCTTATACGGATTTAAACCATTATGACTAATCCAGGATTTCCTATTTAAATGATTGTCTCATATGCCCTATTAGGTCATGATTTAAAATGTAGTAACATTGAATATGCAAGACAAATTTCTACTGCTCTGAGCAACTCCATACTTGATTATAGAAAGTCCAGCATTTAATATTGCTCTTCCTAAACATTTGCAGTAATTCCCCAGAGGATATTCTATCTGTGCAGAACCAGGCTAGCTTGTCCTTGACAGTATTAGGGCTCACAAATTTTCTATGTACTATAAAATGTTTTGTGTTTTTGTGATTGTAATATAATTTATCTTCCTAATTACCTACTATCGAGTATTTGGGGTTATTTTACATTTTTGATATTGTAAATTGAGCCAAATGACCATTAGATTGAATATCAATTATCCAGGATAGAGGTCTTTGGAGATTTTACAAATTTGTCTCTTTCCACCTGCCAAGTGGCAGTATCTCAGTCTTCATCCTTTCTATATCCCCATGAGCCAAGTAGTAATGCCTTGTTTATTATATTCTATCTCTTTCTCCTGTTTTCCTTTTATTTTTCCTTTTTTTTTTTTTTTTTTTGGTCTTGCCATCTCCTGTAGTTTGACATGACTGATGACCCACTTGCATGACCTCAGTGATGGTACTGTCAATCTTGATGCTCTGTATTCTCTTTGCTGTTACCTTTTGGAATTCATCAAGTTGACTGCTGATATTACATTCACCTCCTCCTGAGTTCCATATGCATATTTCACATGGTTTTATATGCATCTCCATTTTGATGTATAAAAGGCATCTCATTGTTAATTTAAAAATCCTAATTTCTCTGTCCCACAACCTTCTCCTATAGCATTTTCCAAAGTGCTGAATAACAATTCTATGTTTGCAGTTGCCCAGGTCACAATATGAGGCTGTTCTTGGCTCTCTTCCTCATATACCTCATATCTAATCAAGATCAATTTTTAATATGTTATATGGAATTTTTCTATTTCTCATTTTTTTCATAGCTTCTATCCTTCTTTCTTCATTCTTCATTCTGATCATTACAATGTCTACCTAATTTTTCCCTTGCTTTAGTACTTGCTTGTTGTATACTCTATTCTAAATATGTAAGTCAGTTTTCTTATAGAAAATTATTATTATTTTATTTTTGAGACAGAGTCTGGCTCTGTTGCCCAGGCTGGAGTGCAGTGGCATGATCTTGGTTCACTGCAACCTTCGCCTCCCAGGTTCAAGTGATTCTTTTGCCTCAACCTCCCAAGTAGCTGGGACTACAGGTACACACCACCACACCCAGCTAATTTTTTGTATTTTTTGGTAGAGACAGGTTTTCACCATGTTGGCCAGGCTGGTCTCAAACTCCTGACCTCCAGTAATCCACCCGCCTCGGCCCCTCAAAGTGATAAGATTACAGGCATAAGACACTGTGCCCAGCTGTCTTATAGAATTATTAAAGCAGATCATTTTATGACTCTTCTTAAAATCTGTCATTTCTCAAATCAGGAGCAGTAAATGTTAAAGCCCCAACAAAGGCTAAATTGACCTCACCTGAGAAGCCCATTTCCTTCTTATCTCCTCCCAAAACTCTGTCTCTCTCCTGAACTGCATTAGTATTGCCATTCTTGCTGTTATTTGCACATGTCAAGAAATGTCCTACTTGGAGGGTTGGCATTTAATGTTTAATCTGATAAGCATATTAATATGATCTGGCTGTGTCCCAGCCAAATCTCATCTTGAATTGTAGTTCCCATTGTCATCAGAGGAACTCAGTGGGAGGTAATTGAAACACAGGGGTGGGGCTTTTTCCATGTTGTTCTTGTGATAGTGAATAGTCTCATGAGATCAGAGGGTTACATAAAGGGCACTTCTGCCACACATGCTCTTGCCTGCCTCCATGTAAGACATGACTTTGCTCCTCCTTCACCCTCTGCCATGATTGTGAGGCCCCCAGAGCCACGTGGAACTGTGAGTTCAGCAAACCTTTTTCTTTATAAATTACCTAGTCTTGGTATATCCCTACAGCAGCATGAGAATGAAGTAATACAGGAAATTTGTACCCATCGAGTGGGGTGCTGCTGTAAGGATACCTGAAAATGTGGGAGTAATTTTAGAACTAGGTAACAGGTGAGGCTGGAACAGTTTGGAGGGCTCAGAAGTGGATAGGAAAATGTGGAAAAGTTTAGAACTTCCTAGAGACTCGGATGGTTCAGAAGACAGGAAGATGTGGGAAAGTTTGGAACTTACTAGAGAATTGTTGAGTGGCTTTGACCAAAACGCTAATAGTAATATGAACAAGAAAACCCAGGCTGAGGTGGTCTCAGATGGAGAGGAAAAACTTTTTAGAAACTGGAGTAAAGGTCACTCTTGCTGTGCAGAGACTGGCGGCGGTTTTCCCCTGCCTTAGAGATCTGTGGAACTTTGTTCTTGAGAGTGATGATTTAGGGTATCTGCAGAAGAATTTCTAAGTGGTAAAGTGTTCAAGAGGACGCAGAGCACAAATTTGCAGCTTGACAATGCGGGAGAAAAGCAAAACCAATTTTCTGGGGAGAAATTCAAGCTTGGCTGCAGAAATTTGCATAAGTAATGAGAATCCAAATGCGAATCACCAAGACAATGGGGAAAATGTCTCCAGGGCATGTCAGAGGTCTTCATGGCAGCCCCTCCCATCATAGATCTAGAGGCCTAGGTGGTAAAAATGGTTTCATTGTCCAAATCAACAGCCCCCTTGCTGAGTGCAGCCTCGGGACTTGATACCCTGCATCCCAGATGTTCCAGGGATGTCTAGAAGTAGCCTCGGTAGAGCTGGTGCCATGACTTCAGAGGGTGCAAGCCCCAAGCCTTGGCAGCTTCCATGTGGTATTGAACATGCACGTGCACAGAAGTCAAGAACTGACATTTGGGAACCTCCACTGAGATTTCAGAGGATGTATGGAAGTGTCTGAATGTCCATGCAGTGGTGTGCTTCAGGGGCAGAGCCCTCATGGAGAACCTCTGCTAGGACAGTGTAGAAGGGAAATGTGGGATGGGAGCCCCCACACAGAGTCCTCACTGAAGCACTGCTTAGTGGAGCTGTGAGAAGAAGGCCACTGTCCTCCAGACCCCAGAATGGTAGATCCTCTGATAACTTGCATTGTAAACTTGGAAAAGCCACAGACACTGAATGACAGCCCTTGAAAGCAGCCAGGAGGAGGTCTGTACCCTGCAAAGCCACAGTGACAGAGCTGCCCAAATGTGTGGGAAAACACCTCTTGTATTAGAATGACCTGGATATGAGACATGGAGTCAAAGGAGATCATTTTAGAGCTTTTAGATTTGATTTCCCTGCTGGATTTCAGACATCCATGGGGCCTGTAACTCCTTTGTTTTTACTGGTTTCTCCCATTTGGAATGGGAACATTTATCTAATGCCTATACCTGCATTGTATCTAGGAAGTAACTAACTTGCTTTTGATTTGTTAGGCTCATAGGCAGAAGGGATTTGCTTTATCTCAGATGAAACTTTTGACTGTGGACTTTTGAGTTAACACTGAAATGAGTTAAGACTTTGGGGGACTGTTAGGAAGGCATGATTGATTTTGAAGTGTGAGGACATGAGATTTGGGAGGGGCCGGGGCAAAATGATATGGTTTGGCTGCATTCCCACCCAAATCTCATCTAGAATTGTAGCTCCCATAATCCCCACATGTTGTAGGAAGGGCCTGGTGGGAAGCAATTGAATCATGGGGTAGGTTTTTTTCATGCTGTTGTTGTGATAGTGAATAAGTCTCATGAGATCTGATGGTTCTATAAAGGGCAGTTCTCCTGCACGTGCTCTCTTGCCTGCCACCACGTGAGACATATCTTTGCTCCTCCTTCACCTTCTGCCATGATTCCCCAGCCATGTGGAACTGTGAGCCCATTAAACCTCTTTTTTCTTTATGAATTATCCAGTCTGAGGTATTTCTTCATAGCAGTGTGAAAATAGAGTAATACAGATATTAACCTAGGAAATTACACAGCACAATGCAGGAGTAAAATAAACACTTACTAAATAAATTATGAACAACAGTGTGGACATGATATATTCTAACATAGGGATGAGGCCTGGGAGAATAGAAGAATTGGATAAAAATACTATTTGTTGACATATTTGTTCATGGAATTAAAATAAACATGTCTCTTTTTTCCTTAGTTAAGACATGCATGTGAGCACATGAAAGTTTAAATAGTTTCTCTGTAAATTCACTAAGCTAGTTCAAAAATCATGCTACATTTATAAAATATCAGAATTGTTATCAAAGGAGTATGTTTATAGGTCCTATGTAGGAATAAATCAAATAATTATTCTATATCCTTTGCAACCTGGTATGGAACTGTGTTACATAAGTCTTATACTTTGGCTACTAAAAGCAAAGAAAATAAACAAGATAGAGCAATCAAATAAATTTTTAAAAATTTAAAAATAAACAACAGCAGGCCAGCATGGTGAATGAAAATAAATCCACATCAATGTACGTAGTGTTGAGAAATTTTATATTTCTGGTAAAATAATTATGCAAGTTCCAAGGGAAAAGAGTAGATCGTCTGCATATAAAAATGTTAGAAATAGTAATGGTTGCAAAACCAATGGCTTCCAACAGTGGAAGCTAAGGCAATGGAAAAATGTTTTGAAAATTTTTAACAGAAAATGATGTCTAATTAAAATGTTTCACTTAGCTTAACTATTACTTAAGAATAAGAACAGAATGAAGATACTTTCAGATATTCAAAATTTAAAAACAACCATCTCTCATTAACTTTCACCAGAAAGTAATTTGATGTGTTTCAACCCAAACAAGGGATTAACCTAGACAGAAAAAAAAAAATCCTTTATAAAACAGTGATCCAATATAGTAGAGAAAAAAAATCTAGGGAATACACAAGATACTGGTGAAGGGAGAATGACTGATGACAGAAGTATCGCTGATTTAGAGAACATGAAGGTCCATCTAGAGAAAGTAGAGGCCTCTGGGAGTTCTCCAAGAATTTTCAAGTTTTTCCAAACAATAAAACTGACAAATTTCTGATGCATAAGAATGAGTGGAGAGGACATTTAGATAGCTGGAAGGAAGTTTGGAGTTGAGTTAGCAGCATATGCATAGAAAAGCAAGCAAGCAAAAGCTTAAAAATGATAATTCCAGGGAAGAAATTATATGGGAAATGGAAATCAATAAAATAATATCTATACATGAGACAGAAAAGCATTTACAGAATCACCATAATATTAACTGCCACTGCTGGCAGAACCAAAATTAAGATAAAAGCTCACTGGGAATATACAGGGAGTTGGAAAGATTGGGAGTAATAGTTAAATATTGTGTAATATGCCTTCTAGAACTTTTAACTCAACCTATTTAATGTAGGTGAGGTGTGCATTCTTCATGTTTGCACAGGACTGTCGATGTTTATGTCTGTTGTCTCAGTATAATCATGAATAGCATACCATTCATTCGCAAAGGAGTCTATAATTAATCAGTCTGGTTGATTAATTATAGTGACAACATGGCTGAGAGCAAAAAGGTTTGCTTTTTCCTCATGTGAAATGCAGGGGTCAGTGGTGGTTGCATGACTGCTGCTTGTTTTTTCTTTATTCCAGAATTGGGCTAAAGGAGCAGCTCCCAATGTGATAGGCTGTTCCTCTGTAGAGCAGAAAGAGCACGAAGGCAGCAAAAGGATAAAATGGCTCTTAAAGCTGCTACTGGAAAAGGGACACTGTCACTTCTGCCCACATTTAACTGGCTGTGGTGCATCACACATCCAAACCTTTTGTCAGTGGGGTGGGGTGACAAGGAAAGAACTTCTTGTTACATGACAATATGTGGAGTTATGTAGTCCTGTAAGGAAAAGGTTGACATTAATGAAGAGCCAAAATACAATCTGTCATGGTATACATCTGGAAAAAAATACAAAATCAGTAAATAATATATGACTAACAGCTATATAACAGCCAGCAGAATTTGGCTGTGAAGTACTAATGGATAATATTTGCATTGTGCTTCTTACTTCATACTGGGTTTTCACAGACACAGTCACATTTGATTCTCCCATCATCTTTACTATCCATTTTAGAGGTGATGAAATTGACATTAAAGATAACATAACTTGACCCCATGATAAAAATAATCACTTTAACAGACTCCTATCCTCCAGATGAATTTCTATCCTCCCTCATTCACTTGAGTATTCATTTATTCATTCATTTATTTAACTAACAGTATTTTAATATTTACTTGTGCTAGTGAGAAAATTTTTTGTGCTTTTATAGAGCTCAAAATCATGTGGTGGCGGCAGAAATGCACTCAAATCATTGCTAAATAGTGAGGTAAGTGCTACGAAAGGTAACACAAAAGGTTAAAATAACACTTAAGATGTGCCTGCGGGTGTGTGACATTTAGATCAGCAGAGAGTTAGAGAAGAGGGAGAATCTGCCAAGTTGCTCTTGAGGGAAAGAGGAAGAGATGAGGATGGGTAGGGAAGGGAAATCATGAGGGAAATCATCACGTTATCATAATCTGAAAATATACACAGGGTAGCAGTTTGATTACTTGCTTTTAGGAACAAATTCTTTTTAGAAGTTACATGTACAAATGTTAGCTGGGTAGTTTAACACATTAAGCTCTTTTTGGTCACACAAGCTCAAGTTATTTTACCCCATTAGCTGATTGTTTACAAAGCAGAACCCTGGATGCGTGTGACATAGATTAGCTCATTCTGAAAGATGAAAAGTCTTCAAAGATGACTCAGGTGAAAAACATCTTTCGTGAGAAAGAAACATGAGCTCTTGGACTTTGAAGTCAAAGATAAGGATAAATGAAGATGCATAATGGAAGAAGAAATAAAACCCAAATTTATGTCTTCTCTGCAGTTTTCTCTGAGCCGCACCTTCGAACTTGAAATTGTGCAACAGTGAATCTTACATCTCATTATTGGCTGTGCTTTATTCCTTACTTTCAAGAGCTAGATATAAAAGTCTATGCTTAAGGAATCTGTAACTAGAGGAATCAGGGAAAATAAGCATGATAGCTAAAATGCACAATGAAAGGGAACACGGAAGACTCTGAATGCCTTAAGGAAGAAATGAAAAAATGCAAAGTAGGAGTAGAAGCAGCAAAAGTGGGAAGGGCCAGGAACTCTGGTGACAGTAAAGGCATTGGAAAGATAGGGAGGCTCAATCACAATAGAGCTTACAATGTGTAAGGATAAAGTTTTCATTAAAGTCACGGAGGCTTTGATAGTGAAGAAGCCCAGAATAACCAAGAGCCACATCTGCTGCATAAGATCAATGCCATTTTTAAAGCAACAGGATAAATTGGATTGAATTGAATCTCCTGCTGTGATTTTAACACTCCCTCTACTCGGTTCTTGCTAAGCGAAGCTTCCAAGGTATTATAGGAGCTTTTTGTATCACAGCATCTACAGAAGGCTATCTGGTTGTTGCTGCAAAATAAACATGCAAAATCATTTGGTTATTGCCTTATCTCAGATTTATGCTCATTGATTTACCAGGGATTTCTCCACTTTTTTTTTCTAGAAATATTAAACTGTGAAATACTTGAACTTCCATTCACAAGTTATCAACAACATAAATGCTATTCAAACTAAATGGTATTTGTTATCAGATAAAACTGTATTCTTCCTAAACAGGAACACACAATAACCATGTTTGAATATTAATATATATAGATGTATAAATATATATGTGATATATAAATATGTAAAAACATATAACAATGAGAAAATATTTCTGAGATTGAGAGATACATTAAAAACTTGTTTTGCTATATTTTTATGTATGTATGTATTTATTTTTGAAACGGCCTCTCTCTCCCAGGCTAGAATGCAGTGACATGACCTCAGTTTACTGCAGCCACCACTCTTTCCTGTGTTCAAGCAGTTCTCTTGCCTCAGCCTCCTGAGTAGGTGGGACTACAGGTGCTGGCCACCACCACCCACTAATTTTTGTGTTTTCGGTAGAGGCTGGGTTTCCCCATGTTGACCAGGCTGGTCTCAAATTCTTGACCTCAGGTGACCCACCTGCCTCGGCCTCCCAAAGTGCTGAGATTACAGATGTGAGCCACTGTGCATGGCCTGTAATTAAAGCTTCAATCCCCTCCTTTCCCCTTCACTCCCTCACTCCCTTTCCCTCCCCCCTCCTTCCCCTCCCTCCCTTCTTCCCCTCCCCCCTTCCCCTCCCCTTCTTCCCTCCTCTCCTCCCCTCCCCTTTTTCTCTTCTACCCCTCTCCTCTTACCCTCCTTCCCTCCCCTCCCCCTCCCATTTCCCATCCCCCCCTTCCCTTCCCCTCCCTCCATCCTCCTTTTTTTTCTTTCTTTTTTTTTTTTTTGAGATGGAATCTCCCTCTTTCATCCGGGCTGGAGTGCAGTAGCACAATCTCAGCCCACTGCAACCTCCACCTCCCAGGTTCAAGCGATTCTTCTGCCTCAGCCTCCCAAGTATCTGGGACTACAGTTGTGCGCCGCCACGCCTGGCTATTTTTTGTATTTTTAGTAGAGATGAGTTTCGCCATATTGGCCAGTCTGGTCTCAAACTCCTAACCTTGTGACCTACCCACCTCAGCCTTCCAAAGTGCTGGTATTACAAGTGTGAACCATGGTACCCCGCCTTCCTCTTCTCCTTTTTGACAGTCTCACTCTGTCACCCAGGCTGGAGTACCATGGAGGGACCGTGGCTCATTGCAACCTCCATCTCTTGAGTTCCGACGATTCTCATGCCTCAGCCTTCTGAGTAGCTGCGATTACAGGCATTCGTCACTGCATCCAACTCATTTTTTGTATTTTTAGTAGAGATGGAGTTCTCTATGTTGTCCAGGAAGGTGTGGTGAGGACCAAGCGATCCATCTGCCCCAGCCTCCAAAGTGCTGAGATTACAGACACCGTGCCTGGCCAAAACTACATATTTGACTCAATTTTGGCTTTCTTTGGATTTTGGATTAGTAATTGTTAAATTATCCCTTTAAAATGTTTTACTTTTAAATTTCCGGTTTTCTTGATGAATTGGGGTTTTTGAAATAATATATAATAAGGAGAAGCTAGAAGCTGCTAACATTTATGAATGATATACCAGAAGAAGAGGGCAGAAGTTGTTCTACAAAGATATTGAGAAAATATGAGCTGTGACATTAAATATCTGTTTAGGTGAACAAAACTTGAAATTCTAAAATCAATCCCTGTCACATTTGTTTATGGTTTTGGTAGTGTTGCCCAAGTCCATATAAAAGGTAATACTAGACTGCTTTTAAATTCTTCACACGCACTTAGGGAATACCTTCTAAAGCTTTAATTTTTTTAATTTACATTATTTGTTCTTTCATTTATAAAGCCTGTATTAAATGTGCTGTTTTGCTTATAGGCCAAAACTACTGTATTAGATAAGAGTACTATGAGAATATTATTTTATAAAATAATTTAGTTGTATTTTTTAAAAAATGAATCGCTATCATACTGAAATTCAAATATGCAATGACAATAATGACTACTGAAAAGAGTAAAAAAAGTACAAAGTTATTTCTTTTACTACTATGTGGTAGGACTATGTAATATAAAATAGCTGGCTAGACAAAGTGAATAAGTAACTATCTCGAAAGTTCAAAGATCCTGACCCTTGATTAATCTCTCTCCCTTTCTTTCTTTCCCTCTCCCTCTTTCTTTTTCCCTCCCTTCTGCCCTCCCTTCCCCCATCCCTCACTTCCTTCCTTTCTTCTTGCCTGCCTTCCTCCATTCTTTTTTTCCTGCTTTCTTTTAACCTTAGATTTTTATATACATCAAATCATTAATATACATTATTAAGTATAATTACATGTTATAAATATATACTCATTATATAAGTGTATATATATATATATATATTGTGTGTGTGTGTGTGTGTGTGTGTGTGTGTGTGTGTGTGTGTGTGTATACACTTACATATAAATTTAGTAATCCAGTCTGCAGGGGTTTCCTGTTTTTTAGCATTAAAGTCAACATTCTTACATATTTTAATAACATATTCTCAGTGTCTCCTCACAAAGCTGTTTCTTTGTGAAAATTATCCAAGGGTGTGGTGGTTCAGACCTGCAGTCCTAGCACTTTGGGAGGCCAAGGCGGGTGGATCACCTGTGGTCAGGAGTTTGAGACCAGCCTGGCTAACATGGTGAAACCCCATCTCTGCTAAAAATACAAAAATGAACTGGGTGTGGTGGCACATGTTTGTAGTCCCAGCTACTCAAGAGGCTGAGGTAGGAGAATCACTTGAATCCAGGAGGCAGAGGCTGCAGTGAGCTGAGATCGCGTTACTGCATTTCAGCCTGGGCAACACAGCCAGACTCCATCTCAAAAAAAAAAAAATCTATTCACATACACCAAAAAAGAAAATAAAAAATAAAATTAACATTCTTGCTGCTGTCTTTGTCACCATATAGCAATTCTTATTTTGTATTTGAGCTTTGGATTAACAGGTTTGAAAACTTTCATATCTCACCTGATGTGAAAGGTGAAGAATCTTTATTTTGAAGACAATTCCAAGTTTACCTCATGGAATCCTAAAATGTTTTGATCATAATAACTCCATATTTGAACACAGTTCAAACAATAAGAGAGGCACAACTAGGAGCACAGTTTTTAATGTCTTTCTCAGAGTAAAAGATGTTGTGAGATATAAACCTCATATTTTGTTATTGGTCTTAGGAGAATTTACTTCATTGATTAACATATTCAAGTTGTTCACTTTCTATAGTTGCTTCTTATTTTTCAAGCTTATTAAGGACTATTTTGACATTCTTGAATAACATTAGAGCAATTTATGTCATTTGCATTAAATTTGTGAAAGTAATTTTCTTGTACTCAAAAACAAACAAAAAGCACAAGAAACCCAAAAGACAAAAAAAATAAAATAAAATAAAAAACTAGAAAATATCAGAGGACCCAACTGAACAAATATTTACATTGATTAATAAATGTTTTAGCTTCTATTTTTCCACCTAATATCATATATTACAAAGATAATCTGTTTGAGTTTTTACTCTGATTGCATATGGATTGAATTTTTCTTCCCTGAATTAATGTTTTGTATTTTGATTATTGTTGTGCACACTACACATATTGATTTTTATAATTCTATAAATTAACTTAATAAAAAAGCAATCATAGCATACTTGTATGATGATTAATTATACAGTAACACATCAAGTCAGCTACTTATTATAGATTTGTTTCATGGTTTCCATTTCTTTTATTCAATATTAGTATTAGGTCTAAATAAAAATTCTGACATAAGTGGATAGCAAACAAACCTAAACTTTCTATATCTTTTTATGAATTAACTGAACCAAAAAAGATTATCATGCCAGAATAGTGTTTCATGCTTTCTACATTGTTAATTAGCAACTAAAATGTCTTGATCAAATTTTATTGTAAATGTTAATTTTATTTAATAAATAATTTTGGGAATACAGTTTGAATTTTATAAAAGGAAGCTCTGCCAACACGTAATTTTAATTTTAATAAATGAATCTAATATACAGAAAAAGGATATGCATTGGTCTTTGATTTAACATCAATTGTAATAGTCACTTCATTAGTATAACCACTGGCTGGAGCTCAATGCCTACCGAGTTCTTCATTAAATAAGATTTTGTTGTAATATTGTATATTACAATGTTATAATTCTCTTCAAAAAAATTTGGTGACCCCAAAAGGCATATCATGTAGTCATTTTCATCATAGCCTCTAGAATTAGCTTGTCTAAATTTCATAACAGGGTATGGCTGGCGTGTGAAAATAACATATTTAAATAGATACAATCAAAACTCTATAACTTTTTATAAGCCAATAAATTTAAGCATTTAATTAAATGAATGCAAGCTATTCATGTGTGTATTTTTCTTGAATATTTAACATATAAAATATTTGCATAATGTAAAATGTTATCACAGTTTTATTGATTGTTTAATAGAATTCCTATATTAAATATTAATCAAATAATTCAGCAAAAATGTTTTAGCCAATTTATATAATGACTTTATATCATATTAATTTTATCTTGAAAACTTATTTCTTTTTCATAAGTACCTTGGATTTAAAAAAATTATACACATTAAAATGCAGAATTTAGAGAATTATGTAAATAAGTGATGACTTTAATCAAGATATTTCTCAAACTTGATTCGAGAAAGGCAAAATTTTTATTTTTTACATAAATTAGACAGGGAATTTTCTCAATTGTCTATTTTATCTTGATATTCAAGTGGTGTTTAAATTTTCTGCTTAAACTTGGTGGGTTTATTTGTAAATATAACAACATGAAAAAAGTATAAATATGAGTTCAAAAAATGAATATTTCAACATTTTATTTTGTTTGAGATGTGCAAAAAATAGGCACTAATTCTCATGATCTGGCAACTACAACAAGAAAACCCAATTACCATCTATGTGAAATGGAAATGTAGAATAGTTGGAAAAATATCCATCACTTTGTAAACTTGTGGAACCTGTGACCATGTTCCTCCCCTGAAGGCCACTTACATTACTGAGTGTGGGGCATAAGGAGGAGAGAAAGAGAGGGAATGAAGGGGTAGACAAGGAAACATTTAAGGCAGTAAAGTGAGAAGCGCTCAGAAGTCAGGAAGCCCGGGCTTTGATTATAGTTTTACCTGATATCCTGTGTGAACTTTATCAAGTTATTCAGCCTCTCTCGCTGTTGATTTTCTCACCTTTAAAACACAGCAACTAATAGAATCTTCACAAGATTATTATGTGGATTGAACAAAATGATTTTCATAAGCAGCCAGATGTAATGCCAAGCAGATTTCATTAAATGGTTGCTTCTTTTTCTTTCTCTTTTTCTCTTCAATCTTCTCCTTTTTCTTCCTTTTTTTCTACCTCTCCCTTATTGCAAGGATGGTAAGAGAAAAGACAATAGCAGCTGTTGAGGTTTGGAATCTGATGAAGAGTGAGATGTTAGGAGCCCTTTGGTTTGTGCTAGTAGGAATTATTATTCTTAAATTTGGTGGGGGAAGATTAAAATTGATAAATTCTGTTCCCTAAATTTGTGCTTAATAATTTTATCTAACTCAAAACAAATAGGATAATGGTTAAAAAAGAAGATAATCAGTATTTCCTAAATGCTTAAAAATTAGCAAGTTACAAAGAATATACAATTCAAGATATGTCAAAAATATTCCACAGTGTTATATAAAAATAATTGACCTGGTTCTCAATTGAACACTTCATGGCTTTGGTGTGGAAAAGGCAGATAATGAATCCATGTTAACAATAATAAGTTTAATGTAGAATAGAGAGGATATATGAAAACTTATCTGTGAATGCTGCCAAATCCAGAAAAGGCTTACATTAATAACACACAGCAATAAATTACACTATTCAGAAAATATGGCCAAAATGAAGTTTTAATACTATTCTTTGATTATCATAACTTAATCACAATTGACATTTTTTTCTTTTCCTGAAACCTATCTAGATCCATTTCTCTTGAAAATTTATAGTTTTTTATTTATTTATTTTTTTTTTTTGAGATGGAGTCCCACTCTGTTGCCCTGCTGGAGGGCAGTAGCGTGATCTCAGCTCACTCTGCCTGCTGGGTTCAAGCAATTCTCCTGCGTCTCCCTCCTGAGTAGCTGAGACTACAGGCGCATGACACCATGCCTGGCTAATTTTTGTATTTTTGGTATAGACAGTGTTTCACTATGTTGGCCAGGATGGTCTTGAACCTGAATTTCATTATCCTCCCGCCTTGACCTCCCAAAGTACTGGGATTACAGGTGTGAGCCACCGTCACCGACCTAGGTTTTTAAAATGTCACAGTAATAGATATTGATTATAGCAAATTTGGAATGTAACAATTGTCAAACAAAATTAAAATTGGTGTACCACAATCTAAGGTACAAAAAGTAAATGCTTGGAACATACCCACCTATAGCACTATACACGAAAATCTGTACACATAAATCTATACACACATATAGACAAAATACAATCATAATGTCTATATTATTTTGTGCCATATCTTTAATATCACATTATGTTATATGATTCTTCAATACTAGTGAAATGTCTTAAATATAGGAATAACATTTTCATAGCATTCCATTGTGAATACTTGGGCCAATCATTTAATTTTTCCATGTTGATCAACATTTGTCCACTGTTTAATTTGGAAATATTATATTGTGAGAAGGATAGCTAAGTATATATAAAATTAGGGGAAATTTCTTTCTAAAACATTGTCTATATTTGTGGATTAAGTCTAATTGTTCTTGTATATCTAAGAGCATGTTTACAAACAAACTGCATTTCTTATTCAGCAGCAACTGAATATAATATTTATATAAGGTTTCTTAGAACAATTCTTAGTATACATATTCCACAGTCTTAGTAAGGTTCTTATTTTATCCAAAAATCTAATGATTTTTGTGATCTTTTCTTACTTTTAAAAGAGAAATATTTCTTAAAAAATTGAGGGTGCTTTTTAAATTATTAATATCTAAGTGTACTTTAGGAAAGCAACCTCAATAATAGATCCCGACAGCATGTCTCTGGGTACTAACTTAGTGCTTTCCTTCCAGATAAAGAAAATGAAAAATATTGATTCTTTGAAGTCTTGTCAGTGTAGGAAAGGTCAGATATTGACCCTTTGTAGTTTGAACATTTTTATTTTTTGGTCTGCAGATGGCCTTTTCCTGTAAATATCTATTTATAGGAAATAATCCATTTACAAATTTTCCACTTCAGTTATGAACTCTTACTTAAAATAAGCCCCAGGTTCAATAAGCTTTACATGGTGTTATTCAAAAGTATCTATGGGCCTTTAGCCATATCTATCTATCTATATATATATATATATAGAGAGAGAGAGAGAGATAGATAGATATATATATATATATATGTTTTTTTTATATATATATATATATATATATATATATATACATACATACACACACACACACACACACACACTAGTTTAAAAAGTTAAGGTATGAAAAATTAGACACAATAAAATCAGAAGTGACTGAAATTTTGATTTAACATTAAATCATTGCCAAATAATACCAATATTTTCTACAATTATAAGTTTGTACTCAATAAAACAGTGACAATCTTTAATATTTGTTATTGTTATATTCACGTTTAAAAGGGATTATTTTGGTTAGCCCCAGATGAAAAATTTTCCAAGTCAAAG